AAAGTCGTGAGTCACTTCTAGGCCTGTGCCCCGCCCATTCTATTATTTGGATGTCAATGTCTAGGGGAACCTAAAAGCCTCCCTCAGCATAGATCCCTGAATGACTACATGGATCATGGCCACACACCCCAACCCTCCTCCCTTCAGTTGGACTCATATGAGTAAGAAACAAACTTCTATTGAGTTAGAGATGGTAGGGTTTATCTGTTACAGCAGCAAGTTTTTCCTGAACTAATTATCTATCTACCTATCTATCTACAGCTATTTCAAAAAGACTAGAAATTCACCAAAATACCACTGATCAGTTTTCAACAATAAACATTAGCGACTTTTGTCATCAGAAATCAGTTTAGATTTTTTTAACGTAGATTTTTATACTTTAATTTTGTTTTTTAGATACAGGGTCTCCCTGTGTTACCCAAGCTGGACTCTTAACTCCTAGCTCAAGTGATCCTCCCCCCTCAGCCTCCCAGGTAGCTGGGACTGCAGGCACACACCCCTGTGAATGGTTCCAGCATAAAGTTTTAAAAATCCACAGCCTGACCTCCCTCCCTGTCCTCTCCACCCCCGTCAATGTCACAAGGCCCATTATTCAATGCCCCTGGGGTCCCCTTTGGGAGCCCTCTTCTCATCCAATTTCCCAGCCACTGCTCCTGCCTGAACTAGTTGCAGAGTCTTGAGTTTGTGGTCTCTGCCAGGGAGGTGGACGGTGAGGGACCTGGGATTCCATCACCACCCCGTGGCCCTACATCCAACTGCCTGGCATTGTGGTTGTGCACTCCCTCCCCAGGGCCAGGAGCCAGGCTTCATTCCAGAAGCTCCTGTGGCTTCAGGGTGTTGAAGGAACTGAAAAGGCAGCGTGGCCCTCAACGCCCTCTCGGACGTCTCCTCCTCTTTACGTACACTGGGAGAAGGTTTACACACCGCAGCCTCCTCCCTTCCTCCCCTCCCTTTGTAGGGGGATTTCTTGGGCTTGACTCTATCTCTGAGTCAGACAGGACTGGCTCTGACTGCCTGGTCTTAGACACTGAAGAGGTGGGAATGACTTGTTTGTCAAAGCGATAGGAGAGGTGGATCTAGAAGTCCTAGCTGCTCTCACCAAGTCTCCTGAGGTCCATGAGGAACCTGGTCAGCTCCTGGCTACAGGATGCAGGGACAAGTTTATCCAAAGCCATTTGCCTCTGTGAACTCCCCAGTCTGCCTGACCAAGGACCCTAAACTTGAGATAGTAGAAAGTGCACTCAGTTGAGATTCTGAAACTTGGGGTCCATTTCCAGGCTGGTTGCTTGGTATAGTGACAGGAGCACAGGCTTTGGAGGGAGATAGTTCTGGGTCTGAAGCCTGGCCCATTTTCTGGGCATAATAGCAACGACCGTTTCGGAGAAGATGGCAGGGCCAGTGGACTCAGACCTCATGTCTCCACATTCCCCCCTTTTCTCACTGTTCTAACAGGTCTCGCCCACACGGGGCCTTATTTTATTCTTGTCTTGCGTGGGCCACGCAGGCATACGCTGGGCTTCTGTTACCAGCATTATTGCAATGGGAGAGGAGGCAGAGGGGCATCCTCCCCCGGAAATGAAGGGGCCGGGAAGTCTAGAAGCAGGGCTAGGGCAGGGCGGGGGTGGGGGCGGTGGCAAGGGAAGGGCTGTTTTCTGCGAAAAGTGGCCAGGGGTGGAGGAAGTAGGGCAGTGGTGGAGGTAGGCAGGACTCAGGCTGGAGTTCTGCCTCTCCCTGGAGTCACTAACGGCTCCCAGGGCTCGATGCAGGGCTGCTGGTCTGTGGACCACACTTTGAGTAGCAAGGCCATTGTCGGCTACTCGAGAGCCGCTGGGGGCATCTGTCGGGAGGAAGGTGTGAGCCGAATGCCTGGAGCTAAACGTCAAACCGCTAAACGTCAAAGTCGGAATTTAAGAGTCAGTGGGATCTGGCTGCGAGTGCATAACCTCAATCTAATCATGAGGAAACGTCTGACAAACACAAAATGAGGAACTTTCATTTTTTAAAATAGGTGGGGGTAGGGAGGGAAACCCGCATGCCTCAAAACTATCAATATCATAAAAGACAAAGAAAGGCTGTGGAAATAACAGTCATGCGCTATATAACGGCGTGTCGGTCAAAAACAGACCACCTATACGATGGTGGTTCCACAAGATTATAGTATCTTATTTTCACTGGAGTTTTTCTATGTTCAGATGCACAAATCCTTACCACTGTGTTCCAACTGCCTACAGTCTCCGCACAGTGACAAGTGGTGGCCCAGGAGCAACAGGCCGAGCCGCAAAGCCTAGGCGTGCGGCAGCTGTCCCACCTCGGTTTGTGTGAGTCCGCTCGACGGCGCTCATACAGTGAATCGCCCAACGATGCGTTTCCCAGAACATATCCCTGTTGTTAAGTGACGCAGTGGCGGGATGGACTGCAAATTAAAGGAGGTTAAAGACACGGGAATGCAACATCTGGCCCTTCGCTGGATCCTAAACTGGAGGGGGAAATGCTAAAAACGACCTCATTAGGTCAAGTGACAACCTGGAAGGTTAGACAAGAACACGGAATTAGTGTAAGTTTATGAAATGGACGACCCTACTGCGGTTACAGAAGAGTTATGTAACCTTACCTACTTACATACATTCCATAAAATACTTAGGAAGGTATCTGGGGGTAAGGGCCCAGATGTGTGTCACTTACTCTTAAATGAGTCAGAAAACGCAATATGTGTGCAGAGAGAGAGAACTGCAGAGCAAACCAAGGAAGATGTTAACGAGTCACAAAGGGTAGGCAGGTGTTCCCACTTCCACGCCCTGTTTCTATTCTTAGAGTTTTCAAAGTTTGAAATGATTCCCAAATGAGACATTAAAAAAATAGCAGGAGAACTCTTTGTTTCAAACAAAATCCCACGTGGGACCCCTTGTGTGTAAAACAGGTGCAAGCAGGGTTGTCTGGGGTGAAGTTGGCTTGGGACCCGGCCTGCCTTGTGTCCCTTTGGTGGCCCCTGGGGTGCCTTGTAGAACCCATCTTGGGAACCACTAAGTGGACTCAGCCCGCTTGGTTTTGGGGAACGTGGCGGGGAGGCAGCCATTCCTGCATCCACACACCTAAACACTCAGCACACACACTTTGATCCTCGCAGCAGCCCTGACAGAGGCGCCCCTAGCCCCGTTGCGGGGGTGGGAAACTGAGGCTCAGGAAGGAGCTCCTGAGCACCCCGGCTGTCCAGGTGCTGTCTGTGTGCCGTGTCCCGTGTCCCACCCCCATTTACACACTTCAGAGGCCCAGTGAGGCTAAATGTCCAAGGCTACAGCACCAATCAATGCCGGGGTTCAAACCCAGGACTGCTGCATAGTGACAAACCTCTGCTCTTTGCATTTGGGGTTGGCGTGTCCCAAGTCCACTGCACAGAACCTGCTTCCCCCCAGGTGAAGATGCTGAGATTCCAGGGGGGCAGCCCTGGCCTGCTAGGGGCAGAGATGAAATTGGGAGTCGCTGGACTCCCAGTCCAGTGCTCACTCACTGGTGTAGGGGGGGAACACACTGTCTCTTCCCTGGTGAGAATCACATTAGCTTCTGAAGGGGAATCTTCACGCAGTGCCCTGACCTTGGCTTGACCTTCATGGCTCAGAGGCTCCCTGCCTGGGCCTGGCTTCTGAATCAGCAGAGACTCCAGCCTCCCTCCCTCTGCCTGGACAATGGGGAAGCTATAAACACCCTGGTTCTGCCCTGTTCTTCCACCTGCTGCACTCTGGCATCCCCGCTAGCAACTGCCTCTCTCTCCCCTCCCTCCCTCCTCAAGATTAGCCATTCCCTGCCCCAGTCCCTGCGTTCTGGCAAGCGTCTAGTAAACAAATTCATTGTTAGCAAAAATCATGGTGTTTGAGTCTCACCACAAAAATGATAACCATGTAAGGTAATGCATGTGTTCATTAGCTAGATTTAGTCATTCCTCGATGCACATATACTTCAAAGCGTCATGTTGTACATGCCAAATGTATACAATGAAAAATCATGGTGTTTGAATGTCACTGCCAGGTGATGGGGTTTTAAAAAGAATTCCAGGAAGCCAGAGGTTTCTGGGGAAACCAGGACTCACTGGGGATGGAATTGCCCTTTTCCAGCCTGAAGTAAATCATTCAAGGTCGCACAGGTAGTACGTGACAGACCAGGAATTTGAACCCAGCTCTGTGTGGCCACCCCAACTGACCCACCTTGACCACAGACGCACGAGCGAGCCCGGCCAAGTTCGAATGTGCCCAGCCCGGATCAGATGGCTGCCCAGGCCCCGTGGACTTGTGCATCTCGATTAATGCTGCCTGTTTAAGGCGCCTGTGATGGGGTGAACTGTGTCCCCTCAAAATGTATATGTTGAGGTTCTAACCCTCAGCAATAAGAATGTGATCTTATTTGGAAATAGGGTTATTGCGGATGTAGTTAGCTAAGATGAGGTCGTACTGGAGTGGGGTGGGCCCCTAATCCAACCTGACTGGTGTCCTTACAGAAAGAGGAAACGAGGACACAGACACGCACGCGGGGGAGAAGACCGTGTGAAGATCAGGGCTCTGCTGCCACACGCCAAGGAACTACCAGAAGCTCGGAGGGAGGCCCGGGACAGACCCTCCCCCGGCACCTTCAGAGGGAGCGTGGCCCTGCCCACACTTTGATCTTGAACTTCTGGCTGCAGGAACTGTGAGAGGATACATTTCAGTTGCTTAAGCCGCCCAGCTTGTAGTATTGCGTTTCAGCAGCTCCAGCAAGCTAACATAGCGCCTTTTCCTAATTCACACACAGGCACGGTGTGGCTGGCTTCCTGGCCTGCCTCTCGGGCACCAGCCAGTTGTGGCCCTCCTCTGGGTCCCAGGGTAACCCCTGTGAGATGCCAAGTCCCTCCCCAAGGGGCCTCTGAATCCGGAAAGGCTGGGGCCTTCCAAGGGCACTGGAGTTCTGGTAGGGGAGTCGGCAGAGACCCACATAGGAGAGCTCCTCGCCCTGACCCCTCCCGGCTCCCCACCTACCTGGGTTGCCGAGGGCCATGGAGTCGTAGATGAGTTTGCAGGTCTTGAGCAGGATGGAGATCTTCTTTTCGGGCGAGTAGGCCTTGTGCATGCTGGCGAACTTCTGCAGGATCTTTTCCATGACGGGCACCTCGGGCACGCTGGTGGTCACGCCCAGGTCGGTGGTGGTGGTGGCCAGGATCACCAGCTGGTTCTCCTTGAGCTGCTGCAGCGAGCCGTCCTTGCTGTGGATCTCGTGCAGGCATGAGTTGATGGCTTCTTTCAGGGGCTTCAGGACACACTTGTACAAGGCAGACTCCACGATTGCTTCTGCAGGCGAGCAAGAGTGTGAGGGTGAGGAAACCAGTTGCGGGGATCCTGCCACCGGCCCCATTGCCCAGTTGTTCAAGCCATCCCCATCCACTGGTCCGGGAAGGGCACACTCACAGCCCCGGCAGTTATACCCTGTGGTTGTGATATGTTACAGAGTGTCGTACATCCGATAGAAAGCCACACTGCAAAGACGCTGGCACAGGAGCCCCCAGGGACCGATACTAACCTGTCATTGAATCCTAATGCGTTTCATAGAGCCTGGCACAGAGTGAACTCTCCCAGGTCTGCCTACCAACACACGACTTCAGAGGGCACTATTCACACTGCAGTTGTGCAGTGTCCAACAGGGGCAGCTGTATGCCGAGGGCCTGAGTGCCTAGTAAATGATTGGTGGAATTATTCTTGACGCCTCTTTCCATTCCCAAATCCGCTTGACTCTAGTCTGAAAAATACAGTATTTCTAGAACGTGACTTCTCATCACTTCCACAGCTACCACCCTGACCTGGGTTGGTCAGGCTACCGCCATCACCTCTCGCCTGGGTTATGTCATTAGGCTCTTGCCCTGGCCCTTATAGTTCATTCTCAGCACGGCAACCAGTGCGGTCCTGTTAGGACATGTTTGATCACGACATCCCTCTGTTCAGAACCCTCCAATGGCACCCATCTCCCGTGCAATCAAATCAAAGCCAAAGTCCTCCCTGTGGCCTCCAAGGCCCTGCTGTGACCGGCCCTGCCACCCCGCTCGCTCACGGCTTGGCCTGCTCCCGTGCCCATGCTGCTCCACGAACCGCCAGGCCTGCCCTGCCCCGGGGCCTCTGCACCTGCTATTCTCTCCACCCGGCGCAGTCACCTCACAGCTGTCCACACGGTCTGTCCCTTCACCGGTCATCTGTCATCTTATCCGAGAGGCAGCCCCGATCACCTCGTGGAGTGGGAGTCAGCGAGCTTCGATCCCACACAGCTCTGCGACGTGCACACTATCATCCCCACTCTAAAGATGGACCAACTGAGGCTCTGATGGGGCGGGCTGGGTGCCGAATGGGGATTAGAATTCATGTCTGCTTGACACCAGGGTGGTGCTTGCTGCTTTGGGTGATGGTAGGGAAATGGTCTCAGTAAGTCGTATAGACCCTAACCCCTCCCCAGGGGAAGGATCTTGGCTATTGGCCTAGTAAGGGCAGGTTCCAAGTCCTGTCCCTGTAGGGGGACACCTGGGCTGCCCCATCCCTGGGGAGAGGAGGGAGGGGCTCGTGCTCCCATGGCCGAGTCTCGGCAGAGGCCCAGACTGCCTTTCCCTGCCACGCAGGCCCGGGGTTGGCCTGTGTCTGGGTTTGGGGCTGGTCCTGGCCATGCTGGGTCCCCATCCTGTGGCCTCCCTCTGTGTCAGCTGAACACAGTGCTGACCTCGTCTCCCTCACCTCACCCCCATCCATCCTTGCAGGCCCACATCTCCGCCCCACTGCCCTCACTGCCACAGCTAAAGGTGGATTGTCCTGGGGGCAGGGACTTGCCCTTCTCCGCTATCCTAGGCTCCCGTGTGACCTTGGCCAAGTCCCTTTCCCTTCCAGGGCCTGTTTCCTTGACTGCAAAATGAGAGGGCTGTGCCCATGCCCTGCAGGTCCCTCCACGTCCGAGAGCCACTGGATCTCCTCCAGGGACCTCCTCTCTGGCCTCTGTCCCTCAGCAGCCACACGTGCTAGGACTGCTGTATCTCCACTTGCTCCTTGTGACTTATCTCCCTAATGCAACCAGGAGCACCCTGGGTGCGGGGTTCTGTCCAGCCTTCCTGTGGTTTAGGTTCCTCTACTGTCTCACCGAGCACACGGGCAGAGCTCGCAAGGAAGAGGCAGAGCAGCAGAGTGGTCAGTTCATGGAACGGGCTGGACTGTCTAGATCGGAAGCCCACCTCTGCCACAGATCTGTGTCCTCTTGGCCAGGTCACTGAACCTCTCAGAGCCTTGGCTTCTTGGGCATGACAGGAGCCCAAGCCCATCGGGTTTGCTGACACATGCCGCGTCTGGAATGGTGCTATTGCCGTCGATGCTGAACTTGTCCCCAGCGCCTGGAGGGCCCTTCTCTCCATCTCTGCAGCTCCAGCCTTTCCCATCCCTGGTGGCCCAGCTCAGCAGCCACCTCTCCCTGTCTGGAAACCTTTTTAACCTACACTTGTGCCCACAGCAAGCTCTGGTGACATTCTGCCACGTCACCTGCCAGAACAGACTCTGAGTCTAGCACCTCTTGGCATCTTGGTACCTGAGACAGAGCTGGCCTCAGCAGATATCGCATGGTGAGTCTGCATCCTGACAGCTGGCCTGCCCTGGGGCTGGAGTCATTCCTGCTGTTTCTGGCAAAGTTCCAGCTTGCACCAACCTCCTTTGCTCTGCCAGGGGCCACCTGGTACTGGCCTGGCCCCGTCCCAGCTGCTGGGCCAGGAGGTGTCCCTGCTTCATCTCCTCCACTCCTCCCTCCACACACACCCTCAGGGGCTCCGTCGCCTCCAGGCCACATCACAGCCTGACTTTCACTCCTCCATGAGCGGACCATGGTCCTCCAGCCTTGACCCCTCCTCTCTGCCTTTTTCCACGTGGCCGTCACTCCCTAGAAGGGAAGTCCTCCCTCACCTTCTCCACAGGGCACCCTCTTTCTTCTCCCCTAGGCCCCAGCTTACACCCCCACTCTGAAAGGTGGGCCGACCACAGCCCCCTCTGGCTGCGCTGAGCCTCCCGCGCCCTTCTACGTTCTCCTGGTCTGCACGGTGCCCGCGGCTCAGTTCTTGCACCCGGGTGACCTCATCCAGTCTCGTGGCTCTTTTTGTGCTGACGGTTGCCAAACATCCAACGTTAGCTCATACTTCTCTGCAGAACTGCAGACTCAGATCCCACGGTCTACTCCACACCCCCACCTGGGGGGCCCATAGTGTCTGTATCATCACGCACCCAAAGCTGAGCTCCGGGGCTCCGCCCGGGCGCCTGCCTCCTTCCAGGGCTGACAACGCTTGTCCGCGTCCTGCCCCCCTCACGCCCACATCCAGTCTGTCCTGTGGCTCCATCTTCACCCCAGGCCCAGAACCCAACCACGTCACTCCACCTGTGCTGCCTCTGCCGTGTTCCCGGCCACCCTCCCTGCCTGCCTCAGTGATTACAGTGGCCCTGACAAGTCCCTCTGCTCCGGCTCAGCACGACGGCCAGTTCACCTGTAAGTGGGAGCACAACGCTCTGGGCTTGGACCCTGCACGCCCTGTTTCACTTGCAGGAGAAGCCGAGCCCTTAGAGAGGCCCGGGGGTCCTGCCTGACCTGCTCCCTCGGCACTTCCTGGTCTCGCTTCCTACCACGTCCCCTCACTCTCGTGCCACCTTACTCCATGGTTTACTGTCACCCTCTATAGAACCTAAGCTCCCTGAGGGCGGGGACTTTCGACTGTTTTGTTCACCTGTTTCTGCAGCACTGGGCCACAGATGGGCGCCCAATAACTCTGACTGGCATCTGGTTACGGGACCCCGTGCAGACACACACAGCGCTGGCCTCGGATCTCAATCCCACCACCCTGCACCACACCTGAAACGCCCCCATCAATCCTGTGGTCTGGCTAAGCTGTCAGTTTTCAGGAGTCTGCTGTGAAAACCCAGTATCCCTGGGAAAGGAACACCTTAATCTCTCTTTCCAAGAAACATTCACCAAGGGACTACGGTCTGCAGAGTCCAGCACTGACTCTTTAATTCCCGGGTGGGGAGGAGAGCCCTAGGGGACGCCAGGGGAGGTCGCCCCTGGAGGGCCGCGGAGTGACTGCTTACCAACGAGTTCAGAAGGGCTCAAAATTTAACAACCACTTGGCCCAGAGCAGTGTGATGCGACCAAACAGTTCTAATGCGTACATAGGTGTGTAGTTGATCGCAGTGTAAAATATATTTCTCCCCGAGAATCACAATCGTAAAAAGGTTTGACAGTTATCGGATTACAGGCTGGTGGGGGTGGGAAAGGCTGGGGGCTATGTTAGAAAGGAGTCGGACCAATGAGCTGTCTTGGGCTGGTTCCCCAGAAGCAGAGCCTGAGGGAGAGATCCGGCACGTGTGACTTACGGGGGACCGCTCTCAGCAGACGGACGGGGTGAGGGAAGTGGATGCAGCAAGGAAGAGCTTGGGCAAGGATGAGGTCTCAGTCTCAGCCTGATCCCGTGGGGCCCTAGAGTGCACCACGCAGTGGCCCCCTCTTGAGGCCAGGGGCTCGTCTTTGTCTCCCCCATGGCAGGGGGTAACCGGTGGTGGCTGCCAATAATGGAAGAGGGGGTGAATATAATTTGGATTCTATATGGCCAAGGTCAAGTCTCTAGAAAAGGGGGTGGCCGTGTGCTGTCAGCAGCCAACCCTCGCAGCAGCTGGAGAAGCTGCACGTGGCCAGGGAAGGGGATGGGTGGGCACCAACAGCGTCCACTGCATAGACCTCTTTTGTTCTAAGGGGCTCCTGAGTCTATGACCTGCACCTCCATCCTTCCCTCCCCCTTGCGCACAGCCAGCCCCTCCCCAGGCACTGACCCAGCTCCTCCTCGGAGTGCAAGACGGGGTCCACCAGGGCCTTGAGCTCGGTGCTCTGCAGCAGGTAGCTCTTGAGCTGGGTCATCATGGTGCGGATCTCCTGCAGCATCTCGGTGCTGGAGGTCTGCCGCGCCATCATCTCCAGGCTATACACCTTGTAGTCCTGCACCAGGCTGCCGAAGTACGAGGCCTTGTCCTGCGCCAGCTCCACCACCTTCTTGTATAGCTTGCGGTTGTTGGAGAGGAAGGCGTGGAAGACGTTGGTGAAGCTCGCGAAGCTCAGCCGGTGCCGCGCCTTGCCCAGGATCATCGAGGACTTCTTCTTCCCGCTGGGGCCGCCGAGCTGCTCCAGCTCCTCCTCCGTGCTGCTGGTTGAGTAGGAGTCCTGGTCGGCGGCAGAGCCAGGCGTCCCCAAGCTGTCCGAGAGGGAGGCCAGGGAGCCCTTGAACTCTGCAGAGCTCTGGGGATGGGCCGTGGCCTGGGCATGGAGGCGCTGAGTCCCGGCTTGGGAGGCAGGACTTTGGCCTTCTCTGGGTGGACCGGGCGTGGGTGTCTCACAGGCCACCTCCTTCCTGCAGAGCTCAGCACTCTCCAAGGGAGCTGAGAGGACAGAGGCCAGCTGCCGGGAGACCCGTTTCTTCCTGGGGGGCGGGACCGGGGGTTGTCTGGTCTTCCTCGGCGGCTCTGGCAAGCTGCCCGGATCGCTGGCTTTGGCCTCTGCTTCCTGGCCTTGCTCTGTGGTCCTCCGAGGCCTTTCCCCAGGGCTGTTCACGGTCCCTGGGGCAGGAGGGCTGAGTGGGGTTGCCCTGGAAGGGCCCAGCTGGTCCCCCTCTGCCACCATCCCTGCACTCTGGTCCTCCAGCGACAACCTCTCAGAGACGCGCCGTCTGGGAGGGGCAGTGGGAAGGCTCTTCTTCATGGGTGGTGGGGGGGCAGGGGCCTGCTGCAAGGGGCTGGGGGCTGCCCCCTGCTTCATTTCTTCCTCCCTGAGAGGGCCCAGGCCTGCAGTGGGATGTGGGAGCCTCTCGCAGGCAGTCATGGGTGGCTGGCTCAGAGGGTCTGGGGGGCCTGGGGCCTGAGGTGCAAGGTTGGGGGCAGGCACTGGGGGAGAACCAGGCACAGGACAGGCAGGAGCAGGAAGAGCAGGGAGTGGAGGGGGCCGGGCCCGGCCAGAGCGATGCAGGGATGGTGCTGGGGGTGGCGGCGGTGGGCGGCGTGGGGCCCACCTGGAGGTGGGCGAGGTAGCGTCAGACGTGGGCAGCGACGGGAGTGCAGGGCAGCTTCCAGGAGGTGGCTGGTCAGCGGGCAGGGCGCCGCCGCAGTCCTCGATGAAAATGGGATTCACAAACCACAGGCGGTCACTTCCCACCGACAGTTCAATTTCACAGGAACAGTTTGTGTAATGGGTGGTGGGTCTGAGGCTGGGGGCCGGGGGTGCTCCAGGGGCGGGGTCTCTCGGGGGCTCTGCTGGGCTCCCGCTTCCTCGAGAGGGGTTCAGTGACGAGTCCCAGAAGCCTGTGGAGACAAGAGAGGGACAGGCAGTCAGTCCTTGCGCTGGGCCGCCGCTGTGCCGGCAGCGTCTGTGGGTGGGGTGGGGGCAGGGCCACGGAGGGCTGTTGGCAGCATCTGCTTCACTGCTCTGAGAGTTGTTTTCCCCTCTCGGACTCTTTCAAAGCTCTCCCACCACTTCCTGCCTCAGGAGGGGAAGCCCCGCGCGGTCCTCCCCAGCACTGTGGGGGTGGGGCCCGAGGGTGACACGACAAGCTCCGCCCAGTTCCAAGCCCACCACAAGAGACTGATGGCACAGGGTAGGGGGTGGCCACGCAGTGCTCTGGAGCTATGGGGAAGGCATGGTGGTGACAGAAGGGACAGAGGCCTGGAGCTCTTGCAGCTGACCAGCTGGGTGCTGTGGGGCAGGTCGCTTGACTGGGCCAGGCCTTAGTCTAGTCATCTGTGAAATGGGGTCACAACAGTATCCACATGACAGGTGTGCGAGAAGAGACAGGACAGTATCAGGAAAGGGGCTCTGGGCCTATTTTGGCCACCACCGTCATTATACGAGTGAAGAGTGAACTTATGGGTTTTGAACCACCCGAGCAGGGAACACCCATCTGCCGCAAAATGATTCTGACTCTGGTCAGTCTCGAGGTTCCAACAAGAAGCTGGTCCTTTGGCCAGGCTGGGGGAGGCCAGCTCGGAAGGCAGAGGCTCTGGCACGGCCAAGCTAAGGCCCAGCACGTGCCTCTCTGCTGACCCAGTCCTCGTGGATCCAGTCCAGGGCCGCGGCCACCAAAGCAGGCACAGGTGTTCTTGAGCTTTGGGGAACATCAAGTATGTGATGGAAGCTCAGGACCCTCCGAAAGGGCCCAGGGACACCATGTCCTGGGAACAATGTCAGCTGGCTCACAGGCCACTCTGCGCTCACTCAAGCGGCTCCTCCTGGAGAGGAACGTGGAACCCAGGTCTCGTTCAACCTGCTAGTTTTGCAGATGGATGGGGGTTAGCCAGACAGGCGCAGAATTCCTTGTGAATGGTGGGGCTGGCCTCCCACCCTGGGCTCCTAACTTCTGGGAGGAACCTGTCAGTAAGAAAACTACGAAAAATAACATCAAGGACAATCACAGGAATGAACATTCACAGCGTTCTTGCTGGGCGCCAGCCCGTGGGCTACTCGCTATACACGGGTTGTGTGGGTCCCTGGTCATAGGCCTCGCCCCATTTCGCGGATGAGGATAAGAGACTCAGGAGATTAAACTTGCCCCAGGCCACAGGGGTGCCGAGTGAAGGAGCTGGGATTGGAACCAGGTCAGGCTACTTCTGTGGCCTGTGTGTTCAGGCGCCGCGTTACTCCACTTTCCTTCATAGGAACTTGCAACATTTCCCATCTCGGTTGCTGTCCCAGCATGGGTGAGTGGCAGGGTGGCTTGCACCCCAGAGCTGGGGATGTGGCAAGAACACAACAGGGTCTTGATGTTGAAATAAAGGAGACATCACAAGATGGCCGAGAGCGGCCAAGAGTGCGCCCACTCTAAGAGGTGGGCACTTTTGGGAGCGTGGGCATGTGCCGTCGTGCTGTCCAGGGGTCAAAGCCAATGAGGGTGAGCTGGTGCATTCCAGGACAAAAGTGCTATGAGAATCAGCTGTGATCCACCCAGCTGTGTGCACCCCTCTGAGGTGCACCCCTCCCTGGGGAGGAGAGTGAGGCTCCCCATGCAGCCCTGTCCTGGCAGAGACCTATGTCTGGCAGCCTGAGTTATAGCCAGTGGAGAGGGCCCAGTTGTCACCACTGGAACAAGGATGACAAACTTTCATGTGACTCTTTCCAATGTGCAAAGCTCTGTGCTCAGCACAGTCACTACCCAAGAATATGGTGTGTCCAAAGCGTCCTCTCCTGGGACCTAGATGAGCTACTCTTGGTGACCTCCTGGCCCTTTGCTTTGCTTTCTTGGGCAGCTACTGACTCTCCCGGGTGCCTCGCATCGAGCACACGGATGTTCTGGGCCCTAGAGTGAGTGTTTGAAGCACTGTGCCCAGGTCTACACAGGCCCAATAAAGAGTCTCCTTGGAAGATTTCCTAGCAAGTAGAATCAGGCAGCCAATCTGACTCCAAAGAGAACTGGGCAGCAGCTGCATGTGTGAACTGGGCCCCCAGTGGGGTTCCCACAAGGCTGTTCCTTTGGTGAAGGTGGAGTCATGGGGCAGACGACATACAGAACTGCCCGCCAGTGCCTGGGCCCTCCCGGGATTGCTCAGGGAGATCGCGGCCATAGCCTGCCCCTCTGCACATTCTCCTCTTTGTGGCACCAGCTAGGCACGCAGCAGGCCCTTGGTCTCTATTTGCTGAGAATCACTTTCGACTCTTTAGCTTGGCACTCAAGGCTGGCGGGATCTGGCCCCCGCGCATCTTTCTGGCATCATCTACAGAGTTTCCTCCCCAGTCTCTCCGCTGCTCACTTCTTCCTGAACATGCCACGTGCTACCCCACCCTCAGGTCTTGGCTAATGCTGTTCCCTCTGCTTGGAATTCTTTTCCCACCCTCCCCACCTGGCAAGCTCCTACTCATTGTCAAGACTCATGACATATGTTATCTGTCCAGTGGTGCCTCCTGATGCACTCAGCCTCGCCTACACTCTCCTGTGTCCCCTGGCTCTGAAGCACACTCTGATGGCAGTGGCCATCACTGGGACTGTGATTCTCTGTTTTTGTCTGACTCCCCCACACCAGACTCAGAGCTTCCAGAAGGCAGCAGCAATGCTTCATCCATCTGTGTATTCCCAGCAGCTAACGCAGCTCCTGGCACAGAGCAGCAGCCCAGGACCTGCCCTCAGCGCCCACGAGCGGATTAGCTTAGCCAGAGCAGAGAGGCAGGGCTCTGCAGAATGCGGCACAGGCAAGGGTGGAAGTAGGTAACTTTCTCTGCAGTCTGCAGAATGCCAAGGCCGGAGAAGGGGAACTCCATGTCATGCAATCCTAGTGGTTGGCCAAGCTGCGGATGCCAATGCCAGATGGCACCTTGCCACGGCTTGGCTCAGCTGTGGGAGTTGCCCTCAGTCAGGGCCGCCCCTCCCCTGCCTCTGAGCTGCTCTCACACTGAAGCAGCCATTTTGCTGGCCCCGTGGCCTCCTGAGCCTTGTCTGGGGACACCTCTCGCCAGGTGACCACTCCCGCGGTCCTCAGAGGGCCTGTGCCAGGTCAGGTGCTGGGCTGTAGGTCCTGGGGGCAAACCGAGGCTCCACCCTTGGGGAGCCCTGGGCTAGTGGCAGCAAAGAAAGAGGAGGAGAAGACGCAGCCAAGGATTCCAGATGCCATGGAAACAGCTTAAAAGGCCGATGAGCTCAGCGAATAAATATCTGCGTGGCATCCTACGGACTGGCTGTTGGACAGTCATTCAAAGTCAAGTTTTCAATGAATTTTTAATAACTAGGAAAATTCTCGTTGTCTGATATAAAGGAAGAAAGCAAGCTACAAGCAAACTTGGAAGAGCTATAGAACATACGTCTTTTCTAAATATATTTTTAAAGTATTAAACATAGGAAGCCTGTCCGGAAAGTCTCCAGCCAGTACTAATATAATGAGAACGGTATGACATGGCCGGAGACTTTCCGGACAGCCCTGGTACGCACACCGCAAACATGTCTGAGAACCACTGTACATAACCCTATTCTCTAAATTCCTTTTGCACTTAGGATCAACTGCACATAGTTCAGCGATGAATTACTCCTTATGTTAGTTTTGTGGGTCCAACTAACCAGTAAGCTCTTGAAGTCCAAGATCACACCTTATATAGCCTGCACGTCTGAATGTTGGCTTTTCCAAGTCCAAACTTGGATTCTCTTACGTCGGCTTGGAACGAACGCTGCGCCGTTCGGCAACATCGCCCCGTCTCAACAGCAGGGCTTGTGCAACTCTTTGGGTATTTATTACATTCTACTCACAAAAAGATGAGCAGAGACCTGACAGAAAAATGAAACTGACGACACTAATGATAAACACACATTTGCAAGACCGTCAGGTGGACCGGAAACCCGGGAATCGTGACCCTTAATTTGACGTTCTTTGACTCTGGGCTCTAGGTAGAAAACTGAAAGTCACAAATCTATTCAAGCAAAACAAAACCAAAAGGCAAGTAACAAAACTGTTTTTTTCAGTTGTGCACGTGTGTGTTTTAAGAAAACAAGACTGCAAGGAAGCACAGTCCACACTTGCAGCAGCGGCGGGAGCAGGCGTGGCTTTCATCCTCATCCTCTTCTGGTCTCGTTGGTTAAAAACAAATAAACGAACACACACGACGTGCTTGACTTTTATAATAAGAAAAAAGATGTTAATAAAAAAAAGAAGCATGCGTAGGGCTCGACGCACAGGGTGGGGCAGAAGGGCGCCACGCTGTTTTCCACTGGAGACAAAGCCGCTGGAGGGAAGGGACCGCGGCTTGGGGAGGATTGGGCAGTGCAGGCCGGGAGCATGGAGCTGAGGAAGCCCCAAGGGTGAATCCAGCTTTTGTCACATCTTAGCGAGGAAAGCCCTTCAGTGGATCTCTCTCTCCCTCCCTCTCTCTCCTCTCTCTCTCTCTCTCTCTGTAACAGCTGTATCGAGATATCACTCACATACTACATGGTTCACGCATTTAAAAAACACCCCAGTGGTTTTTAACATGTTCACGGTCGTGCTGCTGTATCACAGTTTGATTTTAAAGCCTTTTCATCACCCCAAAAAGAAACCCCATGCCCATGAAGCAGTCACCCCCCATCTCCCCCTCCCCAGCCCCTGCAACCACCAGTCTGCTTTCGGTCTCTACGGATTGCCGTCCTGGACAATTTCACACACCCTGTGGCCTTTGGCGTCTGGCTTCCTTCACGCGCTGTGATGCCTTCCAGGTTCAGCCAAGTCGCACCCTGTGTCCGTACCTTTCTATAGCTGAACGAGCCCTTTAGACTCCTTGAGTTTCCACTTCCTCATCTGTAAATTGAGTTTGTGTGTGCGTGTGGGCCGATGTCAACGACTGTGCCTCCCACCGTCCTTTGGGTTTTCCCTGAGATGCCGACTGCACAGGGTAACCCCTGGCTCCCAGGGCCCCAGCGCTAGGCTGCCCAGGATCATCCGCATTCCTCCCGGACAGTGTGCGTGGACAGCAGTGGTTAGGTGGGCCGGGGGCTGAGTCAGAGTCTGGCTGGCCCAAGGATGGGGGGATAGGAACCAAGGAAGCGGGAAGGCCACTTGCAGGGAGCAAGGGGCCGGTGTGTGCACAGAACGGCTGCTGTCACCCACAAAGCCCAGCTGAACCCCCGTCTCCATTTCTCAGAGGTTCCCCGATGTCCTTTCTCTGAGTCTCTTTTCATCCATGCTAGTTTGAGTGGGTTTCAGCTCTTGGCCACAAAAGTCCCTCGCCGCAAATCCCAGCTGTGTCCCTTCCTGTCTAGGGCATCTTGCGTGAGGTTCTCAGTTGGGCTAAAACTTGGTTTTCTATCTCTAAAATGTACTGTCTACCTTTCAAATGCACAAGAATGACACAAGACAGTGCCAAGCGGTCTGCAATGGTCCCGCGGTGTCATCCATTGTCATCCATATCATTTGAGCCTCAGGCAGAGGTCATGGGCACTGTGCAAATTACAGAACCGTCACCCGTCCCGCACCCAAGCTCCTGGGAGAGTAAGAGCCCGACAACTAAAATCTCTGGGAGGTGAAGTTCAGTGTTTATTCCCAATATCAACAGAAAACTGGCCCTAAAGTTTATAAACTGGGTAAATCGGAACTAGCAGAGTCTGGGAGGGTCAAGGGACGGTAGCAGGTACAGGAGCTAAGCTGCCTGGGTTCAGTGCCAGCTCTGCCACATGCCGTGCGATGCTGGACATGTGGCTTACCCTCTGGTTTCCTCTGCCACAGAAGGGAGATTATAAAAATAGCACTATTTGCCTTACCGGGCTGTTTGAAGCTGTGAAGAGCATGCAGCTGAGCAGTTAGAAGCAGTCAGTGGTCCTCAAACGTTAGCACAAGGGCCTGAACCCCTCCTACTTCCTGGCCCCTGACCATGGGCTGCTTCTGATGTCTCTTGAGTTGCTGTCCCCTCTGAGTAGCGGACAGTGGCCTGACCTGGGAATCAGGGGGTGTCTTCTTTGACCCCAGGTTTGCTCGTAATGACCTGGTTCTGCCCTCCGGGTCACTGCTTCCTCCATTCCACAAACACTGGCGGACAGGGCACAGTGTGGTGGGCACAGTGCTCAGCCCCATGGACCGCCGTGTCCCCTCTATGCTTTAGTCTTAATAAAGACTTACCGATGAACTGCTTTGTTCATAGGCACGAGCTGACGGCCCCCAGTCGCGCGGCTCTGGGGTTTGAGCAGGCTTTGGAGACTGCAGAAGCTCTTGGAGGAGTTGCCTAAAACACACTGTCCCTGTCCCCTATAAAAAATTCTCTGTTCCCGACACGCACTGACAGAGGCACTGGCCTGGCTTCCTGGCAGCTACAGACTCGGCGTGCTCGGGCTTCCCAAGGGCCAGCTCGGTGCAGCCCTGGCTCTAGGTCCGCTCTGGCTGACTGTGTCCTTGCAGAGCCGGCACACAGCAAGAGCCCAGTAAGCAGGAGCTGTTCTCCCAGTTACGGTTACATGAGAGGCTGGGATCAGAAACGCTCCTGGCCCTTCCTCTGTCTCCTCTTCTTTCCCTCCCCTCTCTTCATCCCTCAGAAGCTCGGGGGTGGGGGGTGGAGGGGCTTAGGGTTGGGCAGGCCCAGGGGGCGAGGGGCACACTCCAGTTCACAATCACGTTCACGCCACTTTTCCTTCTGATGCGGGCCGGGCTGGGGTCCAGGGTGCTGGGCCCATCTCTCTGGCCACCACTCAGGGGCCTTGTGCCGAGTTCAGCTTCTCCTGGAGCCACGCCGGCCACTGGGGCCCTGCCCAGCCCCAGCTCCCTCAGACCCCACGAGGTTGGGCCTCAGGACCTCCTGGACAGCTGTTAAAGGTGGCACGTTGGAAACTGGACAATCCCCCTGCTACGGTGCTCAGCAGCCTGGGGCAGGGTGTGGGTGGTCCCACGGAGCTTGGACTCAGGACCTGTCCCTCTGCACAGGCGGTCACCCAGGGCAGTCCTAGGGCCCCGTTTTCTAAAGTCCCACCCACTCCCCTGGCCCCTAGAGGGGACTTACCCAGGCCCAGGTTGGAGATGGTCTCAAGGTCTGCGAAGCTGCTCGCCTCAAGGATGGCCTGGGGCAGCCTCAGCGTGAAGGGCAGTAAATCTCTGTGAAGACACGAAGGGTCAGAGGTCATGTCTGGGGAGGGGTCCATGGTGTTCATTGCCCAAACCTGTAGCCCATAAAGGAAGAACCCAGGCAACCCCGCTGGCCGCTGGGGTCTCCATGCAGCCTGGAAACCTCCCTGCAGCCGAGGGGCAGAGCCCCGAGGAGCAGAGACCCGAGGAGCCTCCCGGCAGGCCTAGGACCAGCACTAGGGACCAGGGACCTGGGAGACCCTCCTCAGGAGTGGGGAGGGGTCACCCTTCTCCGTGGTTCTCCCAGTCTGCTGAGCTGGCCAGCTTCCTCTGGAGGCGTGTTTAGGGTAAGGTGTGTGACCTCCCCTTCCTGCCCTCTGACCCTGGCTGCTCCACACTGGGACGAGCAGTGGGCACAGTCGGGCAGCCCCCGACGAGCGCACAGTCAGCCAGCTCTACCTGAAGCCTTCGGCCGGAATGCGGAACTGTTGAGGGCTCCCTCCAGAGAGCTTCCAGAAGGGATTCAGACAGATGGGGAAACTGAGGCCCGAAGAGGGAAAGGGCTATTTCCAGGCCACGTGGGGTGGAGGGCAGAGTGTGCTAGGCCCAGGCCTGCTGGCCGCCAGCCCAGGGCTGTTTCGCAGGGTCAGGAAGGGCAGGGTGGCACTGCTGGCCCCCAGCACGGGGTCAGGATTCCTCATTCACCCTGGCATTGAAAGCCTGGGGACCCCTTTTCCGGCCACATCTCCGGCTTCTTTCTCGTTATCCCGGCCGCCCTGCTCTCCCAGCCGGTCCTCCTCTGCGGAGACGGAACGGAGGAGAGGCGAGAGGGGCGCAGCAGCGGCCGTGGTTTCATTCAGCCTGTCCCCCCGCCCTCGCTCACTCTCCACCTTCTCCCCAAACCCTCATTCCAGTCACTGAATCCCACCCATCCGTCGAGGCTCTACTGTCTGCACCCCATCTTCGCCCTGGGGACACTAGGCTGTGGGCCCAGGAGCTCCCTGGGGGCAGGGTGGCCTTCCAGGGCTCGCGCCCGCAGTGCTTAGCACACGCCAGGGGGTTCAAAGGGCATGTGCTGAATGGCCCCTGGCAAACTCTGAGCTGCACTGGAGGGAGAGCAGAGCAGGGACAGCTGAGTTGGGGCTGGCAGGGGGTCCCCGACCACCTCCCCGCCTGCCCCTCTGCTTAGCAGCGTGGGCTTCTGCGGCCTCCCAGCTATTCCTACCCACCCCTTGGGAAGCGCTTTCAAGCTGGGAGGACACTTCTGTCTCTGGAAGAGCAGGATGGGGTGGGCCATGGCACAAGGCTCTGGGCCCTTTCTAGATGCCCTGGGGGTGGCCTTGGGCTCCTCCGCTGTCAGATGGGCTGAGGGCTGGCAGGTTTTGCATCTTCTTCATTGTCACTGTTGTGTGATGTTCCTGCAAACCTGAGGCCATCTGATGGCCAGACCAGACGGGCCCTCAGCGCTCTGCCGCCAACTCAGGCCCTGCCCCGCCACCACTGCCTCTATCTCTAATTTTGAAGGGTGGCAACATTCATCCTCGAGGTGCCTCAGTTTCCCTGGTTGGCTGTCTGGGCTGTCCACGGGATTTCCAATGGTCCCTCTGTCATTGTGTGCTTATCACAATGGCCAGTAGAGGTCGCTCAGCTCATCTGTGACCCCTCCACAAGCTTATTCCCACGTCTGCCCCCACAGCTCCTTCCCCCGCACTCAGGGGCCTCCGCACGGCCCCCAAAACATCATGCTCATTTTCCTGCAGTGACTGTGCCCTGCTCATTTCCCACCTGAGCTGTGCACAGAGGGAACAGCCCCCTTGTCCCCACCGCCCACGTCTACTCGGATTTCACACATCCTTCAAGGCCACAGCACGGATCTCCTCTTCCTCCATGGCCTCTTCCGCCATGGCCGGGTGTTCAAGGGCTGCATCCGCCTCTACCTCTCTGCACTTCCCCAGGGGCCACGTCTTCCCAGCCAAGGAAAGGCACACAGGGGATGTGGGTGTGTGTTGAGCATCTACTATGTGCCAGGTGCTGGGCTAGGTGTTTTGAAGGCTTTCTGTCAAAGGATGTTACTATTACATTATGTGACAGCAGGCATTGGTGCCTCTGTTTTATAGCCTATGACACAGAGGCTCAGAGAGGTTAGGGGCTTGCCTGAGATCACCCAGCTAGCAGCAACTTTCTGACAGAAACACTGACACATTTTAAAATCTGTACTAATACAAAACTTGATTCTGTCCAGGGCAATACCTTTAACTTACACTTTTCTTTGAGAGAGGAGGACCTATCACGCATCGAGCTCTATCGATCAAGCACTAAAGAGCTCTACCTATGTCATGCCGCTCAATCCTGTAACACTCCTATGATGTGGGTACTACTGACAGCTTCATTTCCAAAAACATTAGATTTTTTTTTTTTTAATTAGAAAAGAAACACATATTCGCTGTAGCAAAGCCAAGCAATAAAAAAAGTGCTTGAAATAAAATGTGCAGGTCTTCCCTCTTCAGAGGGTCCCACTGCCAACACTCTGGGAGCAACCTGCCTGGCTCTTCTTTATGCACACACGAGTGCACGCACGTACACATGTACACACACGTGCACACACGCACCTGCACACACATGCACACACCATTTATTTTAAAAGCAAAAATATATTGCTCTGCAGCTTGCTTCCTTCACTTAACAAAAAAGCTATCTACACTAATCTCTTTCTTTTCTGTGCTGCAGAGTATTCCACGGGACAACCATCATTTCTTTTTCTTCTTTTGGTGGCCAGCCAAGCTGCTTTTCCCTCACGGTGCTAAGCCGTATAGAGCTGCCAAGTGCCCAGGCACTGCTGTGAACACTTTACGTACGTGAGCTCTTTAAATCCTCTCTTCAACTCCATGAAGCGGGTATTTCCTTATACCCATCTCATAGCTGAGAAAACTGAGGCACAGAGAGACTAATGGCTTGTCCCCATCCCATAGCTTGTAAGTGACAATGCCTGAATTTGACAGACAGGCAGACTGGCTCCCGGGTTCAGGCTCCTAATCCCTAGACCACTCACTATTAGCAAAAAGCTATTTCCAGATGGCCACAGGATCAAACTATGCTGCAAAGAACAATTTCAGCACATAATCTTTCTGCCCTCAAGCTAGTATTTCTATTGGATAGATAAGTAGACGTGAGTCTGCTAGGCCACAAGGTATATATATTTTAAGAAATGATAGAGTTTGCCAAACTGACCACCTTTGCCCAGCCTTGCACCCACTGACACCCCAACAATGCCCGCTGGGCTCAAAAGTAAATGGTCCTAAGCTGAAGGAGCAGCTCCCTCCTCCCAGTTCTAAAAGAACAATGACCGAGCACCCCAGTCTCCACCTCAGCTTCGGTGCGTCTCAGGGTGCCCTCCTGCTCACCCACGAAGGTGGAACCCAGGCCAATTGCCAGTTTGGGGTCATTTGGGGTCAGGGTGGCAAGCCATCCCGCCTAAATAAATACTAGCAGGGTGCAAAGAGGGAGAAGGCAGGGGTCTGAAACTGGTGATAAGATGCGCGGCTTGTTCACACCCAAAGGCTGAGTCCTTGGGTCGTGGAAATGTCGGGAAAGCCCTCGGGTGGGGTGCAGCGGTGGTGGGGCCTCCACCTGAACACTCATGGACAACCAAACCGAAAGAGAAGTGGACGATGGCGAGGGGCTCCACTGGGTCCCCAACACAGGTCCGTACTCTGCAGACTACCCGGGTCGGAATTGGGGAACTTCTAAAAGTGCAGGCTGCTAGATCCATGCCCAGGGGAACCCGGCATCGGGTCTGGCGTGTGCTGAGAATCCACATTTTCAAGCAGCTCTCAGGGGGACCCTGACGGATGCGGCGCTGGGTGGGAGTCAGGGCCCCTGAAGCTGGGGCTGTTACAAAATCCTAACACGAGGCAACCTTCCAGAGGGGAGTGCGTGGATTTCCTCATAAACTATTAAATCCGTTAAAAAGCTTTCACAACAATAGAGATTTTAAAAATGGGAGTTTTAGAATAAATGCTCTAACATTTCCTCCCACACTGCGGAGGGCCGGCTTGTGCACCCCCGGGGGGGCCAGTGTCCCTCTCTCGAGGCCTCTGTTCCAGCCGGTGCCGTTCAAACTTTTCTGGCCATGACTGTCAGTGAGAAACACATCTGACACCATGATGCAGCGTGTTCAAGCACACACACACACACACACACACACACACACACACACCCCTAAAACAGAACCTTAGCAAAACAAGACTTATTCCAACTACATGAGACACATTCTGATAGCTTCTCGTCCAGTGTATACTTTTTCATTAAAAAGAACCAGCCACGATCCACTACACTGATTTTGTGACCCCCTCTGATGTATTTTCCTGCACCAACCCTCCACTCTCCAATTCTCCAGACACCAGCTGGGTATCCCACAATTCAGTGCCATTCTGGCACCAGTTACCTGGAGTTGGGGGCACACTCTGCAGACTTCAGGGTTCAGTCCCACAAGACGCCCCCGCTGCAGGCGCAGCTGCAGGGCCCAGGCCACCACTACTTCTGACTGGCCGGCCGTCAATCATAGGTCCCCAGGCACGATGATGAGAGATTCTCCAAGGGCGAAGATGACCACCCTGCCCTTGTACCCCCCCTCCAGGAAAGGAGGTGGCTGCTTAGTCACAACACTGGGCACATCCTAGGGGCAGGCCCAAGAGGCCCCTCCCTTCCTTCCTCATTTTGGGTCGTGGCACCCACTTCTTGAAGCTGATGACTCCCGCACCCAGGGCTGTGCTGAGGGTCAGACTCCATGATCCTTGCAAGGGGCCAAGCAGAGCGCCTGGCACCAAGTAAGTGCTCCAGAGCTGATTGAGTGTGTCCATCTTCCTGACACCCAGGACAGAAACCACGGGCATCTCCCCACACCTCCTCCAGCCGCCCCCCACGTGGCTGCCCCCACCCCTCTCAGTTGCCCCAGCCACTGCCAGGGGCAGCACCTCCACACAGGGCCCGGATGGTGGCAGCAGCCCCCAGCTGGTCTCCACTCTCCCCTTCCTTCCACCCCACCACCTGCTGTGGCCACGCTGCCCTGCTAAAGAGCAGTCTAACTGTCAGCAACGCGCTTGCAGCACTGGTCGAAGGAAGTCTCTGCCACTCCTAGGCACGGCGCTTGAGGCCTTCTGAGCATCCTACCTTCCACTCATGTATTCAGTTCAACCCACAAAGCCACTCCTGAGGCTGCCCATAGCTTTCCCACTTTGCACATGCCATTCCCTCTGCCTAGAATTCCCTTCCTACTCTTCTTTGTCTGGCCCCCAATGTCACCTCTACCATAAAGAGGGACTGGTGTCTCCCACAGGTGAAGGGAGAGGCTGGCGGGGGAGCAGTACAGGTGTCTTCTTGGTCCCAGGCCTGGCAGTGTGCTGGGCAGAAGCAGCTGGGGCTTGGGACTCAGATGCACCTGGGTTCAAATCCAGCTCAGAACTGAGCTGTGCCACCCAAGGCGGGTCACACCCCCAGCCTCCATTTCTTCATCTAGAACAGCAATAGGAACACGCTTGATGGTTTCTTGAGCACTTACTTCATGACAGCTGCTCTGCTCAGCCTTTTCCAGGGGTCCCGGGGTCTGATGCTCAGCACAGCCCTGGGGTGGGGTCATTAGCCTCCTGACGTGGTTCAACAGATGATAATACCTTCCCTACAGGTATTATCGTTGCAGGGGTTAGAAAGAACTCCGCAGGCGGTACCCAGCACAAAGCCTGACTCGACACGGACGCCCAATCCACGGGAGCTAGTCGTGGCAGTCGCCGCCGGCACCCCACCTGGTCTGGATCCTTTGCTGGCTCTGCACACCCATCGCCCAGCCTCTGCAGGCTTCGCTCCCCAGCGGGGGCATCGGTGACCCTCAGGGGCTCGTCCTGCAATGCTGAGGCCTCGCAAATGCCTATGGGTGCCCAGGTCTACTTTATGCCCCCAGGCTGGGCTGGGCTGGGCTGGCCCTGCAATCACACCCTCACTGCGTCCTACCTTGCTCCCTAATCCCTCGCTGCTTTCTCCTTGGGGGCAAGTCCTTAATCATCCCTTGCATATGAATTCTGCCCCAAAGCCTGCTCCCAGAAGACCCCCAGCTAAGCAATCAGTATCAATACCCTGGAAGCAGTGCTCGAACCTCGATCTGCAGGTGGCCTCCTTACAGTTGCCGGTTCCCGTGGCCCATCCCAGACCACAGAGTCAGGATCTCCAGGGTGGGCCCAGGAGTCTGTATTTTTACCCAGCTCTCTGGTGACTGTGGGACCCAGCCAGGTCTGGAAACCCTCTCTAGAATCCTCATGCCAGTCCACCATGCAGCCTAGAGCATGAGGGTTTGTGTTAGAATGGGGGGGTGAGCACCTTGAAGCAGGACTTGTCTCTTTTTTTATTTGTGGGGGCAGAGGCTGTCTCTTTACATGCGTTTCTCTCCTCCCCGCCTCCGGCATCAGTATAGTTAATCTTATCATTCCCATTTTACAGAGGAAGAAGTTGAGGCTCAGAGAGATTAAGTAACCAGTTCAAGTTCTGGGCTTTGCAGTTATGTCATCATCCAATCATTCATTCATTCACTCACGGCATGCACCAAACACCATGCTAGGCTCCTACTAAGGTGAGAACTCCTCGGAACAGGAAAGGGCCTGTCCCCTGGAGAGCCCGGCATGTACCGTACAAAGGGCCAAGGGGCCTCCGATGTGGGCCTCGAGGGACGTGCTGGGTCATGAGAATTACAGCAGGATGTGCACGGTGTGGCGGCTGCAGCGTGGACTTTGGAGCTGTGTCTAGTGTGGGTCTCTGCTCTGCCATTTACCAGCTATGCAAATTACTTCTCTCTCTCAGTTTCCTCATCTGTAAAATGGGGATCGCAAGAGCACTTACCTCTGGGAATTGTTTGTAAGATTTAAAAAGACGATGGTTATAAAAGCCCTCAGCACAGCGCTGGGTACCTGGTGAGCCTTTAACAGGTGGCAGCTGCTAGTATCAAATAGTATTATCAGTGTCACCTTTTCTGCCTATCTGGGCCCAGGAGGGTCCTGGTAGGTGAGGAGGGGTTTTTGTCAGAGGTGGCATGAAGCAGTGGGCCTGGAGCTCACTTCAGGACCCCAACACAGCCTGCCCATGCCGGGGTGCGGAACCTGTGGCCCCAAGCCCACACGTGGCCCTCCAGATCCCCAAGTGTGGCCCCTCGACTGAATCCAAACTTCACCTTTTATTAAAACGGGTGCGGCAGAGGAAAATGAAGCTTTTCTTGCCTCCTTTGGTGCTTAGAAAAGAACAATCTTGAAATCAGAAGGCCACAGGTTCCCTACCCATGCTTGGTTTACGACACCAAAATGTATTTTTAAATTCTTATTGACCGGAAACAAGTTCTGAATAAAGAGGGCAGTTCTGAGGGTGGTTACAGACACCTGCTCCACCCAGCAGCTGCATAATCATCACAACCTCCCTCCCACGAAGGGGGATCCTCGCCTCCTTCTATAACCCCTGCAGTGGGCCCGGCTCAAGTCCACGCCGGACTCCAAGCTGTCCTTGACGCTGGCACACAGGAAGTTGGGAGATGGGCAGTGACCCAGAGGGGCAGGTAGTGGTGAGGGAGGGGCTCTTCCCAGACGGTCCACGGGAGCATCAGAGCTAACACATCCCCTCATGGTTACCTGGGCTAAGCTGGGGACGTCCCCTCTCTTTGCATCCTCTGGGGCTTCCCTAGGACGCTTCCACCCAGACAACCTCCTGCAGGGCCGGGCCTACTCACCTACTGACACAGTAGAACGCGATCAGTCTGAAGATGTCCTCAAACACAAGAACGGAGCCTTCCAGGTACAATACTGAGGAGAGATGAGAAGGGTCTCAGGTGAGTTTCCCTCCAAAGACAGGGGTGGAAGGAGTGTCGTTGGCTCCCTGAGGGTGGGAGTGGAGGGTGCCTGCTGAGTTCACTGCGGGTCCCCTGTACCTACCGCGGTGCCTGACCCCTCCAGCCCCACCCCAGGATGGGATCTTGGGCAAATGCTTTGATCCTCTTCCGTGCCAGAGCTTGGTGGGTCGAACTGAATACATGAGTGGGAGGTAGGATGCTCAGAAGGCCTCAAGCGCCGTGCCTAGGAGTGGCAGAGACTTCCTTCGACCAGTGCTGCAAGCGCATTGCTGACAGTTAGACTGCTCTTTAGCAGGGCAGCGTGGCCACAGCAGGTGGTGGGGTGGAAGGAAGGGGAGAGTGGAGACCAGCTGGGGGCTGCTGCCACTGTTGAGGCCCTGCGTGGAGGTGCTGCCCCTGGCAGTGGCTGGGGAAACCGAGAGGGGTGGGGACAGCCACATGGGGGGGAGCTGGGGAGATGCCAGTGGTTTCTGTCCTGGGTGTCAGGAGGATGGACACACTCGATCATCTCTGGAGCACTTACTTGGTGCCAGGCGCTCTGCTTGGCCCCTTGCAAGGATCATGGGGTCTGACCCTCAGCACAGCCCTGGGTGCGGGAGTCATCAGCTTCAAGAAGTGGGTGCCATGACCCAAAATGAGGAAGGAAGGGAGGGGCCTCCTGGGCCTGCCCCTAGGATGTGCCCAGTGTTGTGACTAAGCAGCCACCTCCTTTCCTGGAGGGGGGTACAGGGGTAGGGTGGTCATCTTCGCCCTTGGAGAATCTCTCATCATCGTGCCTGGGGACTTGTGATTGACGGCCGGCCAGTCAGAGGTAGTGGTGGCCTGGGCCTTGCAGCTGCACCTGCAGCGGGGGCGTCTTGTGGGACTGAGCCCTGAAGTCTGCAGAGTGTGCCCCCAACTCCAGGTAACTGGTGCCAGAATGGCACTGAATTGTGGGATGCCCAGCTGGTGTCTGGAGAATTGGAGAGTGGGCGGTTGGTGCAGGAAAACACCTCAGAGGGGGTCACAAAATCAGTATAGTGGATCGTGGCTGGTTCTTTTTAATAAAAAAGTATAAACTGGACGAGAAACTATCAGAATGTGTCTCATGTAGTTGGAATAAGTCTTGTTTTGCTAAGTTTCTGTTTTAGGTGTGTGTGTGTGTGTGTGTGTGTGTGTGTGTGTGTGCTTGAACATGCTGCATCATGGTGTCAGATGTGTTTCTCACTGACAGTCATGGCCAGAAAAGTTTGAACGGCACCGGCTGGAACAGAGGCCTCGAGAGAGAGGGACACTGGCCCCCCCGGGGGTGCACAAGCCGGCCCTCCGCAGCGTGGGGGGAAATGTTAGAGCATTTATTCCAAGACTCCCATTTTTAAAATCTCTATTGTTGTGAAAGCTTTTTAATGGATTTAATAGTTTATGAGGAAATCCACGCACTCTCCTCTGGAAGGTTGCTTCGTGTTAATATTTTGTAACAGCCCCGGCTTCAGGGGCCCTGACTCCCACCCAGCGCCGCATCCGTCAGGGTCCCCTTGAGAGCTGCTTGAAAATGTGGATTCTCGGCACACGCCAGACCCAATGCCGGGTTCCCCTGAGCGTGGATCTAGCAGTCTGCACTTTTAGAAGTTCCCCAATTCCGACCCGGGTAGTCTGCAGAGTACGGACCTGTGTTGGGGACCCAATGGGGGCAGCAGGGTGCTAGGATGGGGCAGTCAGTGTCCGAAGCTGGGGGCAGACTGAGCAGTGGAGAACAGGGCACCCTGTCTTGCCCTGCTTGGGAGCCCCAGGGCTGGGGGCCCAGCGACACTCAGCGAGTGGGCGGAGGTCCCACTGCTCGTCGGTGTCCTGGCAGGCGCCCACCCACAACTCCCGCCCCATCCCGCACACCACACCCTGGCATTGACACACTCTGCACTTGTCCCCACAGTGAGTGCTCTCAGGCACCAGAGGGGCTGAGAAACGCGTGAAAGGCACATTGTAGTTCCAATTTCCTGAGGTTCTTCCAGCTGCCGTGTGATGGGGGAAGGCAGATCCCAGCTTCCAGGCCTGGCCCTGGCCCTGTAACTGACAACGTGGCTCTGAGTATGTCTCTTTCCCTCTCAGTGCCTCAGTCCCTCCACCTGCAGAGGGAAGGAGCCCTTCCAACCCTAAAGCCACACGTACGTGACATAGGCCGGCCATCCTGTTTTCTAAGCCTAGGACAACACTCCACTATATTAAAGGTGTGTGAGATAGTTATAGGGATACACAAGCCAACATATTTTGTTCCAACAGCCTTATTTTTATACTTGCCTTCTTTCTACACACTAAGCACTATTCTCAACAGTTTATGTGACTTAAAAAAAAAATTTACATTCAGGCTGGGTGTGATGGCTCATGTCTGTAATCCCAGCACTTTGAGAGGCCAAGGTGGGAACATCGCTTGAGCCCAAGAGTTCAAGGCTGCAGTGAGCTGCGATGGTGCCACTGCACTCCAACCCAGGCAACAGAGCAAGATCCTATCTCTACAAAAAACTTTTACACTCATCTATTTATGGCAAAGACATAGTTTCCCATTAGGATAGATACACAATTTTTAAAAAGGGTTTAAAGAACAATATTAACTAGTCTATAGTACAGGACATACTCAGAGGATGCCTACAAAAGACTTAAGTCTGAGAGTCAGCAGCCGGTGGTATTACCACCCTCTGAATTCACAGGGGGAGGTGGCCCCAGGCGGCCCAGCGCCACCTAGTGCCTGCACCTGCGCATGGCGGACTCTCTCCACAAGGGGCAGCACGGGCAGTGGCCAGGGCAGGCTGGGGCCAAAAGACCCGCAGCAGAGAGAGGAGACAGGAGGCTCCACCTGTGAGATGGAACGGAAAGACCCTCCTCACCAACCCCTCGAGCAGGATTAGGGGTGAAGCCGGCAAAAGGCTTGGCCCGGGTTCCGGGGTTTGGCCACCGTTTGGCGTTTTCCCTTGTTCTTTGGGTTTTGGCCGGCTTTGTTGGACCCCGGTTAAACCTTTGAGGCCAAGTTGGTTCCTTCCCCTTTTTTTGCCCCTTGCCTTTTCCTTAAGGCCTTGGCCCTTAAATAGCACAGTCACATGGCTTCGGACCCAGTCCACTGAGCAGGTCGGTGGGCTGTGTCAGCTCCTTGGGTGCGGGACCCAGCACCCATTCGCTTTTGCAGCCCAGGGCCCAGCATAGCTCTTGACATAGGGGCCCAGTCACTGTTTCACTGTGAAACCGTAGTTGTGTCAAATGACACGCGACGGTCAAAGCTCATGCTTGTCTCTTCCCCCAGCCCCTGACCCCTGCCCCACTCCTGACCATGCAAACAGCATCTCTTCACAGCAAGGCCCCAGCTGGGGGGGCCCTGAATGCCCAGGATGGGGCTTGGCCCATCTCTGAGTCTCCCATGGCACCCAGCGCAGCACATGGCACTGCTGTTTGGGAGAGCGCTGGATGTTTACTAAAAGTGTCTGGCAGGGAGACCCCAGAGGGTTAGAGGCCACAAGGGCACCGTGGTCAGAGTCTTAAACCTCCCACCAAGTGGCTCATGGCCCTTCCCTCTCGGGGCCCAAATGGACACCTTGGTCTTGGGGGAGACCTAACAGATAGCCTCACACTCTTCTGGAACAGAGCTGAATGCAAGTCGGTAAGAAACAAACAGTCCTTTGTCCTGAGGGGCGGTGGCTTAGCTTGCAGAACTGCGCTGCGTCCTGTCCTGCACCAGCCTGGTGGCTTGTGTGTGGGGTGGCTCCCTGGCCACACCGCCCACATGTGGGCATGTCTCTGTGACATTGCTTATCCTCTCTGTGCCTCAGTTTCTTCAGCTGTAAAACAGGAGTAATAAAGTACCTACCTGTTGAGAATGGAATGGTCCCCCAGAAAGATGTGTTGGCATCCCAAACCCCAGTACATGTGAATGTGACCTGATTCAGAAATAGGGTCTTGTATGAATAGATGTCATCAAGTTACTATGAGGCCGCGCTGGATCAGGCTGGGCCCTAAATCCAGTGACTGGTGTCCTCACATAAGAAGGCTATGTGAGGACATGACATGGGACACAGAGACACAGAGAAGGGAATGCCACGTGAAGCCAGAGGCAGAGATTGGAGCAAGGGACCTATAAGCCAAGGAATGCCAAGGACGGGCAGCAGCAACCAGAAGCCAGAGAGGCACGGAACAGAGTCTCCCTGAGCCTACGGCCCTACCACCCTGGACAGTCCCGATCTCATCTGATCTCAGAAGCTAAGCAAGGTCGGGCCTGGTTAGTACTTGGATGGGAGATTCTCCCTGAGTCTCCAGAAGGAACCCACCCTGTCACCACCCTGATTTCATATTTCTGGCCTCAAGAACCGTGAAAGAATAAATCTCTTTTGATTTAAGCCACCCAGTTTGTGGTGATTGGTAGCAGCCATAAGAAATGAATACACCACCTCATAAACTGCTGTGAGCATGAAATAAATTATTATAAATAAATTGGAACAGTGTGTGGCATGTTCGAATCGTTTTAAACAAGCACGGCAATCACGGCGTGCGGTAGGGTGGGAGGGGGAAGGGTTTTTTGGCCTCATTTTGCCTCATTTTGACGGCTTCTCAATGGAAACCTTGTCCCTCGCCGGCTGCTCTCCTCCCGCTGCCTGTGAGCGCCATCCTCATTCCGCCTCCCTGCCTGCGCCCTCCGTCCTGCACGGAGGTCCCTGCGCCTCCGCAGCTCGTCCAGATCCACCTTCTGCCCCGAAGCCTTTGTTTTCCGAGGATCCGACCTCTGCCACTGGAGAGCCACACACAGGGTGTGCCGCCCAGACCGCGCTCTCGCACCAGGAAAACGCTGCGTGTTTGCGACACGATGCAGAGACAGGGGTGCTCGGACCACAGGCTGTAAACTCACTGGAGCAGGACCACGTTCCCCCGTCCCCTGCCCTGAGCAGCTCGGTGCCAGCCACAGGCGAGGACCTGCGAGGGCCGGTCAGGCACAGTGGG